ATATTTTCCATGAGAGGTTAGGTGTGTGACATGGGCAAGTAACATGTTCACAGATTCAATACTTGGTTTGGATGCGTTGAGATCAACATTTGGGTTGGATGTGTTGGCTACTTCATGGGATTATACAGTGGTGTAACTTTGGTTTGGATGTGGAATATGTATGCATTTGGTATGGATTGTATACATTGGTTATGGATTCTTTATTATCATAGAATATGTATGCATTGGCATGGATGTGTATACATTGGAAATTGGATTGGTTTATATTTGGCATGGAAATGACTTGTTATAATGTTGTCATTCCCTTGGTATGGATACATACTATTGATGAATATCTAGTTTAATGATATTTCATTTTATTGTACTATGGTTGGTTTTATACGTGCTAACCCTTATATTTCTATGATGTGGACTGTGATGATCTCACTATGTGGGGGAGTAGATCAGGTGTGAGGCTTTGGGATGGCAAGGAGTCTTTTGGGTAGCTACTTTGAGAAGTGGCTAGACTTAGAGCTTGACCAGCACCTAGGGTGTCTTATTTTGATACTCTCATGATGTTGTAATTATATTATCTTTTTGGATGACTGTATAACCTTGCTGAGGATGACTCTTTTATAAAATCATGTTTTATATTATGAAAACAATTTATATTTTATTGTATATTTACACTCTACTGTAGCTGGCCTTTGCTCTATTATCTTTATTATATATTATTTTATTTTAGTTGTCATATTGGTTGTTGATGTGACGGCCTAAGGCGGGTCGTTACACCTACATATAAACTACTAAATAGGCCTAAGTTTGACTAAACAAGGCCTGATCCACTAATTAAGTCCTAAAACGTTAATTACAAGTCATTAAGGTTTAAACAACAAACAATAAAATAAAAATGCACTGGGCCGCAACTTTGCACTGCCTTTTAGGACCTCTTTCGATCTGAAGTGGCTCTGGACTTTAACAGAGAAGTTGTAGCACTCTCTCTAAGATTTCCAACGGTACCAAGAATGTTCCAATCCATGTTCAGAAGCTCCATATATGGTATGCACAAGACAGAGTGTTCAAGTGGGTAAAAATCCAACAATTGTGTAAAATTTACCACAATCATCAAATAATGTCACTATCATAAATCTAAGTCAAAACACTAATAAAAGACACATACAAAAGTCAAAAAGGACAAATAAATGCACACAAATTTTCTTCCCAAAATGCACTATGAACTAACTCATTGTTGGTCTCTACAAAGCTTTGCACTATACCCTTCACATGCAAGCACATCAAGAATGACAATTCAACAGGCTACTTGCTCACCTTAACATTCATCTGAGCTCTGATGAGGAAGACGAAGACTTGGATTGACTTTTGTTGATGCCAAAAAAGGGATAGATAATTATTTTTGAATGAATTCTTTTATTACCTCAAGTTCATACTACTAGTTGTGTTGATCTTACTTTTCAATGATTTATTGATACAGAACGATGTTATACCATGCATGTTTTCAAGGGGAGTCCCTCTAGATATCTTGTTGCATGCATCTATGATTTGTGTTAGATAAATGAAGTATAACATGTTTTAACACTGAATGAATCATAAAAGTATATGTGTGTAAGTTTGTTTGTAGGGTTACCTTATTGATAGCTCATATGTCTATACGAAAAATGTTATGTCTGTTTATAGAACTTAGAGTTTGCTCAAAAAAACAAAATACTGAGATGAGAATTTTTATGTCTTACATACTAAGGCTTACTTCGTCTGTAAAAGTGAAATGCCTATGTGGATATCCCAAACCTTTCAAAGCATATAGAAAACATTTTTGGTCTAAAAATTCAACTCTAAAATCAAATGAAAAATCCTTTCAACTGACCGAGACCAAAATCCTTTCACAAGTTAAGAAAACAAAGCTTTTGCAAAAATGTGTTTGTCACCATCAAAAAGGGAGAGATTGTTAAGTCAAAAGATGATCTTGGATCCCTTAATTTCTTAAATTTTAATGATAACAAACACTATATCTTACGAAAAGAAAATATCTTTGAAAAATGCTTATTCAAACTTAGAAAGATGAAGTATCGTCTATAAGACGAAGCATACAAGCATGTCTTGAAGCACTTAACATTTATCATTTATTGTGATTGACATGTTTGAAATTTAAATAAATTCTTTATACCTTAACAGATCAAAACAAGCCATCTTGGAACTCAAAATCTGTTAAAGAAGATCAAAAGCATGCTATGCGTTAAAACCAAGGACAAAGATCCCATATCTCACAATAAGGCACTAAAAAAGCTTCTTACTCTATTTCACGCTGAACTTGCTTCTTGTAGCTTCTATTTATATCTTTGCTTTGATAAGTAGCTGAATCGATGAAGATAAGAAATTAATTTTGTGAAAAAGCATTAATTTATCAATGGATACTTCTTCTCTCACTTCAACCAGACAATGGAGTAAGATGAAACAAATCTATAAGCAAGGCTCAAGAAGTGACAACTATCATTCACTAGTGGAAAAAAGACTTTTAAAATCGGTTATTTTTAACTTTTAAAATCGGTTCTTTAACCGATCTTGAAAGAGCCGATTTTAAAAGCTAGACTTTTAAAATCGGTTCAACAACCGATTTTAAATGTTAACTTTTATGATCGATTATTTTATAACCAATCTTAAAAGTCTGGCTGTGGAAAAAAATTAAATCGGAATGGGCCGTTCCAAAATCGGAACGGGCCGTTCCAGTCTGATTAAAATGCCTAAAAGGGCATTTTAGAACGGCCCGTACTCCTTGGAGAACGGCCCGTTCTCCTTGGAGAACAGCCCGTTCTGCTTGGAGAAAGACCCGTTCTCCTTGCAGAACGGGCCGTTCCAAGTTCGAACCCAAGCTGGGCCTACAACGAAAACAGAAATGAGAAAATCATGAAAAAAACGAAAAGAGACACAAGAAGAACATGAGAAGACGAAAATGAAAACAAAAACGACAACGAAATTTACCTTATTGGAGACTTTAGAAAATGGGAGCTTCAGAGATTAAACAAAGGAATGGAGGGAAAAATTAAAGATAATGAGAATGGAGGGGAATATAAAAGATTTCTGACGATACTTTTAAAATCGGTTATTTAAGAACCGATTTTGTATACTACATACAAAATCGGTTATGAAATAACTGATTTTAAAAGTAGCACTTTTAAAATCGGTTATAAAAGAACCGATCTTAAAAGTGACACTTTTAAGATCGGTTACAAAATAACCGATCTTAAAAGTACTTTTAAGATCGGTTATTTTATAACCAATCTTAAAAGTGTCACTTTTAAGATCGGTTCTTTTATAACCGATTTTAAAAGTGCTACTTTTAAAATCAGTTATTTCATAACCGATTTTGTATGTAGTATACAAAATCGGTTCTTAAATAACCGATTTTAAAAGTATCGTCAGAAATCTTTTATATTCCCCTCCATTCTCATTATCTTTAATTTTTCCCTCCATTCCTTTGTTTAATCTCTGAAGCTCCCATTTTCTAAAGTCTCCAATAAGGTAAATTTCGTCTACCGCGTCACTTTTAAGATCGGTTATTTTATAACCGATCTTAAAAATGCCACTTTTAAGATCGATTATTTTGTAACCGATCTTAAAACTCCGATTTTAAATCCAATTTTTGCACTAGTGATCTTATCCAAAGCTACTATATAAGAATTTATGAAGATCAAGACAATAGAGGGAAGCTTCCTTTTTTTTTATTGAAATACAATATTCACATACACAAACATATCTTTTCTGTATAGGTTTTGTCTTGTAGAAAAATCTTTATACCAAAACATTGTTGTATTCATATCTTAGAGAGACGATCATAACAACCTTGTAATACCTTGATAACTGTTGTTATAGGGTAGAGCTTAGAGAGGCTTAACTATAAAATAATACTTGGGTAGTAACTTGAAGAGGCTAGTCAAAAGAATACTTGTTGTAGAGCTTGAAATGGCTTGCAAAAGAATACTTGTAACTTTGAGAAAGTTAGTGAAACTCAATCTAGTTAGATTGAGAACTGGACTTAGTCTCTGTGTTTGAGATGAACTATTATAATTTTTCACTGTTCTTTTGATTAAACTTCTAGCACTTTGTTTGTTGTAGATACTACTTCACTCTCTTGTGAAAAGTGCGAGTTTTTAATATTCATTATTCGACCCTCTTCTAATACTATCTTTTCTCCACAATCTGATATTGCATAAAATAAAAGGTATGGAAAAACCTATACATGTCTAAATATTGTAAACAACATTAGCTATTTCAGTCTTAACATTGATAAACTAAGTGAAACTTATACAACCCTCAACAAAAAAAATACTCAGAAAACTAAGTCAAAACATTTTTTCATTCCTCTCATTAGACCATTTGTAGCATTCCTACCTCAACTCTAACTAGATTATTTCTATTAATTGTTGTACTTATAAGTAATGTTAATTTGTTGACCAACATTATCTTGACCTTTAACTACCAAAGTGCTGTAAATATTAGGGATCTTCTGTGGGGAAAGGCTACATCTAGTACTAGACCGATTGTTTGGGCTATATGTGCCAATTTTCTTTTTCAATTGCTAAAACCTCAAGACTAGAAGTAGTATGATTTATTCACATATAAAAATATATGCATTTTTTAGAAACTTTTGGAAATAAAAAAGATGTTTGATAAAAAAGCAATTTGATTAGTTAATTCAACAACAATTAAGCAATGGGAGCTAGTAGTTAGAACTTTAAACATTGTAAACAACTTCAAAGTCCAACTTTCTTGGTGTTCCTCCTCCTCCTCTTTTTCTTGGTTCTTGTTGCAAGTTGTGTTTGGCTAGACTGGATAATGTAACACCTTTTTATCCATAAATATTCATTTAAAACATATTGCAGTTATAATCTAAAATAATGTATTTTCAATGACCTTTTTATAAGTAAAGAACATCACATCCAAAAAGAACTTTAAAACTAAAACGGAAAGTCCATTAACTGAATTGAATAACATTTTTGGCATTCCAAAGGCCATTATAATAATAACCAAAGCTTTTAACATAAATAAAACATAAGGATAAGCATAAATCATAAACATTCAGAAATAATGCCCTATTGTTACATTCTACTAGAGCATAATGTCGACATAAGAAGGACGAACATTCTCTACATCCACCTCCTCAACAAACTCAATTACCTCTAAATGGTGCTCAATCCAAACACAAACAACATAAAATAGGTAGTGAGATACATCTAACATCACATAAGAATATAACAAAGTTGTGAATGAAACTCGTAACATCTATAGGCACACCAGAATTAGAAAGATTGATCTAGAGGTTGTTCATGGGTTTCTTCAACTCCTTCTCAACCTTGGTGACTTGCCTCATGTAGCTTTGATAAAGCCTTATTGCTCCTTTTGAGGTGGTGCACTTAACCCTATGCTTTATTGCATTATTCAGTTGACACTTTGTAGCACTCCAATTGTTCTTGATGGTGTTCTCAGTCTTACCAGACATTCTCCTTGCAATTTTTGCCCACTTATTCACAAATTCCTTGTGAGCTTTGATCAATAGTTTGTCCTCTTCATTTAATGCCACTTTCTGCATTTGTATAAAACAACAATGTTTCGATGTAGAAATTAGAGATCAATATTGAAATAGATCAAAGTTTTTTTAAAAAATGCCCCCTGGTTGCGATTTAAACTACAATGTTAATATTTTTGGAGTATCTACAACCACAATTTGAGATAAAAAAAATTATGGAATGAAGGACTGAATATCAAATAGTTCAAAAGCAATCAAAATGACTACATATACATGATTGATATTTCACTAAGAAATTTTCTAACAAGATATGGAATCGCGACTTAGTTCTACTTATAAAGCAAATGCATGTAGTCTAATATAATAAGGAGTCTTGATTTTTGGACACTCAAATAACACAAACAACCTACTAATACTTTTCAATTATAATATTGTATCACTATATAATCAAGTATATCAATCTCTTCTTTCTCTATGTATCTTAAGATGTAAACTCAAGCAAATATATTTTTACTACAATTAAAATGAATCTACCTTCGTGCACAAAAAAAATTATTAGTTGATTGAGACATTTTGCAATACATATATTGTTAAAATAGACTTAGAGATTGCTTCAATGTTTGAGTAATGGACCAATGTATACAAGGTTCCTTAAGGAAAAAAAGAATCTAAATTTCTACAGATAGACACACATGTATGATTTCCAACAATTTTCGTAAAGGTATAATAATATCTTACTAAAAATTTAAAAAATGAACTTCACCGAACAATTAAGGTTTCTTTAAATACTTTTATAATAAAAATTTTAAAAATGTATTTTGTAATTTGATAATTAAAATACTACTTTTTTAATAATTTTATAATTTAAAAAAAATTTCTAATTGCTACAAAAAAGTTGAAATGTATTTTTCATTGATTAATAATAGACTTTTATTATTAAAAAAGCACCAATTAATGCCCCAAAGTGCTTATATATTTTGTAAAATAACTTATAAATGAAAGGGGATGATGATAAAATAAATTTTATGTCATATTATTCAATAATATACACGAACATGTGTTAAAAATAAAATAAGTCCTGTTACAAATTTTCATTGTTGTAAAAAAGTTATATAAAAGAGATGATTAAATTAGATTTTATGAATTCAATTTAATATATAAGATCCTTTTAATTTAATTTAAAATCCTAAAAAAAATTATGAAATTTTCTTTTAGATCAATCATAAGAATTGTGAAATTAACTCTTGAGATTGAGATATATCATGTAAATTTTTTTGCTTTTGAGAAAATTTAGCTATGTAATAATCACCTTTAATTCGAAAATTAATCCCAAGTTGGATGAATTTTTGTGTAAAAATACAAGATTGTGTGTGTTTGTGTATATATCATTTGGAAAATATTCAATAAATACATTTGGTTCATGTTAAGTAAATAACACAGGAAGGATCGAACTGATGGAAGATGTTTGTATAAAAGGATATTCTAAAAATGTTGCAGAATCATATGATCAAGAGAGAGAAAAACTAAAAAGAGTTGAAAAGGAAGAAACCTTAATCTTTGACTTGAGATGATTGTGCCATCTCTCTCTACACTGTTTCCCAATCTTGCCTTTCAGCAACCTGGAGATCTGAGACCATTTTTTGAGTCCGAAGCGTTTCACCAATTTCAAGAGGACTCTACGAAACCACATTTAAACCCAAATCAAGCATACCAAGGATGAAAAATCAAACAAAACATCAAGAAACCTCACTAAAGATATGAGCTAAATCAATGAAATAATTCAAATAATAAAATAGAGACAAAAATATGAAAATTGGAAATTGGTATAATTTGTAACACCTATCCTCTTCGGCACTCCACTGGCTTTTGATTTTGTTTATAATATTATTTCGAAAGTTGGGAGTAATCTTCCTCTGCACCTAATTCATGCCAGCAACAACCAAACTTTGTTAGCTTTATTTATGATTTTAAAGATGCATGAAACAGTGACAAAGTGGGACTCACCTGAGGTTGTGAAGTTGCATTTGCACTAGAGGGAAGGGGATTTTTATTAGAAAAGTCCCAGATTCCCTTGTTGGTGTTGAGGGATCCATGCATGAATTCAACTTTGGTGTTATTTGGTACAAAATTCATGGAGTAATAGGTGTTGAGAAAGCCTCTTTGGAGCGACTCGTTGGGGTAGCCTAAAGGAGGAGTTGTCGAGGACAAAGAGAATAATGGAGTGGTGAAAGAGGAAGAACCCTCAATGGGAAAACCTGTAGAGTGTTCATGGTTTGGATCATTTAGGGAAA